ATAAAATAAGAAAAAAAATGATTAAAAAAAATGATTATCAGATAAACTAAAACGGTTAATCCTACTGATTCGGGTCCCGACTTATCATCGGTTATTATAACATCAATCCCTAAGCGGTACCAATCCTATTCGATTATGATATTAATCAGACAAGCGCTTATCAACATCAAATAAATTATGTTCCTGTTTACCGAATTAAGCAAACGGTTAAGAATATGACGAATTAACGAATTAAGCAAACGATAATACGCAATTAAATTTAGGAACATACATACAATCGAATTTAACCAATTCTATCCTATGAACAACAATTGAATTAAGCAAACAATTGTAATCAAATTAAGCAGATGACTTCATAGAAAAGGATTGAAAGGAATCAGAGTAAATTGACATAATAATAATAACCTCAAAGTGTTGAAACCGTACACAGCAGGATTTGCCCGGAGGTATTAGTTCTCCATGAAAACTATAAAACAAAGGAAAAAATTCGGAAAAATAAACTAGGTCCCCGTTTTGCATCACAACAAGAACTTTAAATAGAAAATAACTGGGCCAGAAACCTAAACTAGGCCCGCAAGGAAAACTACATTGTCACAAGTCAGAAACTTCAACGAATTATTCGAGACTCAAGAAATCCGAATCAGCTCCTTTGTGAAACATGAAAGTTGTAGATCTCTTTCTTAGCTTTCCAACGACTGGTAGAATGCCTCAATCCGATTCATGTAGCTCCAGTTATGAATTTTTCACTAAAAGCTATTAATGCTGAAAAATAACAAACGAAAATTAAATAAAGCTTAAAATAAAATAAATTGTAAAAACATTATAAAATAGGAAATTAAATAAACTAAATGGTAGAAATGCCTAAGTCTAAACATAGAGGAAGGTACATTAAAATGCACTGATCATTGTGTTCTTTGATTGACCCCATAAATAACAAGGAAATTTCTTGGCATGTAACTTAACTCTGGATGACTCTTGAAGAGTTACATTCTTCCTTTCCACTACCCCATTTTATCAAGGAGTGATAGGAGATGAGAATTCATAACCAATACCTTCTGAATCACAATACTCAGAGAACTTAGAATTTTCAAATTCAGTCTCATGGTCACTTCTGATTTTTACTATCTCAATCCCTTTTTCTCTTTGAAGAAGTTGACATAACCCTTTGAACACCTCGAATGTGTCATATTTTTCTCTAATGAACTTTACCCAAGTGAACCTTGAGTATTCATTAACATACACAAAGACACATATTTTCCCTCCTAGACTTTCTACTTGAATAACACCCATTAAGTTCATATGCAAAAGTTCAAGAACTTTTGTGGTGGCATGATGTTGGAGCTTCTTGTGTGACGACTGGGTCTGCTTGCCTATTTGGAACTCTCCATAGACTTTTCCGTCTTCAATCTATATGTATTAATTCCACATCATGTTGTGCGATATTTCCAATACTTCCTTTACCTTAGGTGAAAAGATGTCTAAAGAAAAGCTTGCCAGAAAAATTCTCAGATCATTGCCTAAGAGGGTTGATATGAAAGTGAATGTTATTGAAGAAACTAGTGCATAGGTTATCATTCAACTAGTGCATACAAGTTGTATTAGCCAAATGGTGATAAGCTAGTGATCAATAGGGATGTTCTAGTTGACGAAAGCAAAAGGTGGAATTGGACTCAGGGGTCAGTTTGACATGAGCAAGATACAGTAGCAATTATGCTTGAAGAAAACCAACAAACTGAAGTCACAACCAATCGAAATGAACAACCACCTGAGAAAAACATTAGAAGGTTGACTATAACAAGAAATGATTCGACAAGGATAGCTGGATATGTGAGATTTTCAGATCATGCAATCTATGTAGATGGTGACTTCATAGAAGAACTGATGATGATGGTTGAATCATAACCAATTGCTTTGGATCAAATCATGCATGATTCAAATTGGTTGGAAGACCTGCAAGAAGAACTCAAGGAAATCGTTATAGTCGTGCAATATTTGATGGGTAAGGTAAAAAAATATTGAAAATAAAAATGAACGGACTTTAACAAAATAACTCTCTTTGTAATACAACAACAATTTATTTGGCAGAAAAAACAAAAAACAACACAATAATTTGTTTACTCAGTTCAATCAAACGATCTACTTTGAGGGGAGGGAGATAGCATCTCTCTGATTCACTATACTTCCAAAAGTTGTTACAAAAGATTACAAATATGTTACAAGAAAATAGCCATCAAAGTTTCCAAGAACAAACACTATTTTATATCCAATTGTTTCTCAATTTCTCCAACTCTCTATATATGTATTACACAAGTTCAAGATGTTTAGAAATGTTTTTGAATCCCTATTAGATATTTCCAAGAGTTTCATAACTTTCAGAAACACACTCTTGGGAATTTACTATTATCTCTCTAAGATTATCACTGGGATTCTCAAACCACTCTCTTTGTCTTTAACTCTCATAGTTCTTAAGGTTGTCAAGACAAGAATGACGAAGATACATATTTATAACTGTTGAAACCTTACTGATAATATATAACTGTTGAAACCTAACTGCTGAAACCATTATGTTAGTCCTCAAGGTTTCACTCCCAACATCTCATAACCATTCCTACCTCTTGGATAACCTTTGAAGACATTAGACACAATTATACCATATAGTTGAATTTACTTGATTTGACTAGTAAGAAATTTTTTGATGACATTCAAATTATAATAGGTTATAGTTTTTCTACTCCAAATCTCCCTAAGTGTTTGTAATTCTATTCCTATAAATGAGTATTTGTCAATTAGGTAGTCGCTTGAATTATGAATCAATCGGATTTATATGGAACACGTTGTGATGATATGCGAATTGGTGAATGTGAACGATCACCTAGTGATTGATGAGTGCAATCACGTTAAATGTTGAAACCTAATCACATATTCGAAAATAACCCTTGATTGTGAACATCTCAATTGAGATGCTTATGTAATGTAGAATTAGGATGTATGCACCAATGATTTGTGTCTTGCAAATGGGTTTGAGTCCCACAAATAGGTTTGAGTCCCATAGAGGAGAGGTAGACCTCAAAGTTGGTTAGAGTCTCATACGATGAAAGATACACTAAGTGAGTTTGAGTACCATACGAGTGACAATTCTTGAAGTGGGTTCGAGTCCTATGAAGAACCCGAATCCACAAGAAAGTTGAATCATACAAACATCTGTGACCTAAGTTCTTGCCCTAGACGTAGATCTGGCTGCATAAAGATGCTTTGTTGCTTTTCGAATAGTAATTTATTGAGTTATGTGAACTCAAGTTACATGCTTTCATACAATGTGAATATTCCTTAGATGCTTAAGTCTTTCTCTATTGTGTAAGTGTACACATGTATTATTTTATCAAGAAGCTTAAGTTAAAGTTTAGATAATAGTCTCTTTAGAGCCGAGTGGACCCATAAGATAGAGAACCCACTTAAATTATTATCTCATGCCACTATTATTGTTGTTTCAGGTGGTTTTTTGCAAGTGAATGACAAGGATAAGTTTTTTTGGTGATGTTTCAAAGACTTTTGCTATGATGATCTTCTGTTGTAGTTTATGTGTGTGTGTGTGTGTGTGTGTGTGTGTGTGTGTGTGTATATATATATATATATATATATATATATATATATATATATATATATATATATATATATATATATATATATATATATATATATATATATATATATATATATATATATATATATATATATATATATATATATATATTGTAGATAGATCTTAGATTTTGTCTAGGAACCTTTGTATAGCATATGACATATTGTATTTTTTTTGGACATGTATATATATTGATGTCGATAGGACTTATGTGTATCAGTACCAATTTAAACTATATGTAATGTATTTTCTATTTGTATATTATATGTGGGTGTTACCGTAGATGTCCAACCAAGAAGATAGTCGAGAAGACACCTTATGTGACTTGGACAATACTAAAGCCAAATGTTAGTCATCTTAGAGTTTTTTGATCAATGTGTTTCAGGCTTGTACCTGAACAATTGAGAAAGAGGTTAGATGATCGAATTCAAGCCATGATGCTCATAGGGTATCATTCGACTGATGCATACAAGTTGTATTCACCAAATGATGATAAATTAGTGATCAATAGGGTGGACAAAAGCAAAGGGTGGAATTTGACTCAGGGGTTACTTCGACATGAACAAGATACAGTAGCAATTGTGCTTGAAAAATACCAATAAACTGAAGTCACAACCAATTGAAATGAAGAACCACCTGAACAAAATGTTAGAAGATCGACTAGAATGAGAACTGTGTCGATAAGGTTAGTTGAATATGAGAGATTTTCAGATCAAACAATTGATATAGATGGTGATTTCATAGAAGAAATGGTGATGATGATGACGACTTAATCAAAACCAATTGATTTAGATCAAGTCATGAAAGATTCAATATCTCAAAATATCTCTTCATCAATGACACCCAAACACTAAGAGCATCACTTGACCCTTTTAATAAGCAACTAAACCACAACTAAAAAGTCCACATGCAACTCAACTCCTCAGAATGTCAACTGTCTAGCGTATATGCACTGCATAAATTGGCAAAACCACTAACCCACTCTCCATCAATACCTCCTATAATACAACCACAATCGTGAATCCTTCTTCACAAAATTTGTGTTCAACTTTAACCCACCCTGCCAGAGGGTGCCTCCACCCAACAAGCACCACATCACGATGAACCTCTGAGACCACCTAGTGAGCCTTCATCGCAAGATGATACATAGCAAACTTCAACACATATTGAAACACAAAATCATTGTCCTTATAGTATTTCAAAGAGATTTGTTTCAAACATTTCATATAAAAAGACACTCTTAACATTATGTTTTTGGTGTGACTAAAACAATTATTAAATCATCATAGCTATAGATTAGATGCACTAAAAATGAAAGTTACATTCTGATATATCATTATAAACCAAAGTTACATTACATTCACCTTTCTGATAGTGTTGCATCAAAATCATACAAAGATCCTCTCCCACTAGTAAATTTCTTCATAGCATCCAACGACGGAGGAACACTACTAACCACAGCCGATGCCTTTTCTTCCCCGCCACGTTTCCTTCCCTCGCAACTTCCCTTAGAAATCCAAACCACAACTTTCTTTTCAGATCCCCGAACAGAATCATTCTTTTTGTTTGAAACAATCTCTTTACGCAAGTTCTTTTCCTTCTCCTTCATCTTCTTCTTCTTGCGGTTAACTTGACCGATGCACGAGACTTTAGGAGAAGTAGGTTCTTTTGGACTAAAACTAATTCCTCGTTTCTGCTTTCTTCTAGCTTCCTTAGGAAATAATGAGACAACATGTGTCATAGGCGATCGACATGGACTAAGAGTCGGATTCTGAAATGTTACTAAAGATATGGACACTGGTTGTTTTGACATAAACTTCAAAAACGTGGTTTTGATTTTACGTAGTTTTTCCATCTAGAGATTATATGTTTTGAGGTCAATGGTTTAAAAGAGTGATGAATAATGCTATATAAGGGTTACAAGAAGAGGTAGATGAAAGGTATGATTCATGATAAGAAATCGGGTAATAAGAAAATTAAAGAAAGATTATGGTTGACATTGATGATAGAGAAGTGGCGTGCTAATGTTGTAGAGATTTGTGTGATGAAATCAGCTTAAGTTGCCGGCATAATATAAAACAGTTTTTGAACTTGGATTTGTCATGGTTACATAGGATGATGCGTCATTGTGACATTGAAATAGGCCATTTGTTTTGACACGGAAATTTAGGGTTAATTAAAACATGTTTATTCGTGGTTTTTGAAAAAAAAATATCTTAATGTGATGCCGTTGAATGAGAGAGGGTGTGTTGAGATACGTTAAAGTATCACAATTATCAGTTCATAAAGTATATTCTATGTTGCTTTTGTGCTTATTTATTTGTCTTTTTGAGAGGCTTGTAAGTTGTAGTACCGCTCAATATATTGAAATTTTGAAAAAATAGACAGTTTGAAGTTTAAAATTAATGTTAGAAATGTATCAAATCTGTGTAAATAGAATCTGGTTTTGATCTTATTCATCTATTTATTGAAAATTCATTTATTTTGAGAATATAATACTTTGTGTTAAAGTATTATTTTGAGTCTGTTGTTGTCGAAATGTTTGTTATAAAAATTATATAGTTACCGGAATATTGAAGAAGTGTGTTTTTGACATAAATTTAGTCTAACCATTATTTTGTGTTTTTAGTTGAGTTAGGTTAGTTGGAGATTGTTTGGTGTACAAACAACCTTAGCATATAAATAAGGAGGTACCATGTCATAGCAAATGCAGTTGCTTAAAAAAAGATTTTAAATAAAATTTTGGTTTGAAAGCAAAGAGAGAGAAACTCTACAAAAATATTCTTTTTCTACCTCTTTTTTTCAAAACTCTAATTTCTCTTTCTTTTCTAAATTCTTCTTTTCCTTTCTTCTTAAATTTTTATGTAGCAGAATCATCTTACAACTAATAGGTGATTAATTCACTCGAGCAAAGAGTGAAGAACAAGAGGCAAAATCAGTCGAAAGAATTAATCCTTGTTTATTAAAATTGGTTCGAAATTTTCAATAAATTTAATATAATTCAAACGATTTATTAATTTTTTTTATGATTGAAACAGCTAAATCAATTGAACCGTGATAAAGAAAATCTTGATAATTCAATAAATGTAAATGAGTTATTAACTAAACTAGATTTGATTTTTTTTTATTAAAAAGGTAAATACACTTTAAGAAAACATATAAAGCAATTTGTGTTGAAAATAATGTAATCGCTCTATAGAAGTTCAAATTCGTTATTTTCAATTAAAAAGAAAATGCTCAAATCTTGAAGGGTATATTGTTAGAAAAGGGATTTTTTTTTAATGATTAAATTTTCCAATAGAATTCTCCATATAACAATGTTTTCCTATTAATTTATAAACTATGTTTCAAACAAACCAAAAATTTTATGCAGGTCAATATATATTATACAAATTAATACAAATGAATTGGAGGCTTGTAGGTCAAAGTCAATCTAATTGTCGTCTACATATAAGTGTTAAGAGGAGATATCAATTCATCTGTCTCAATGTGTTGCAAGTTTTTTATTAATATTATATTTTAATATATACCATTTAGTATAAATTGAGATGTTTTTTACTATTTTTTTACACCTGTTCTGATTTTCTTCTTAATCTTTTGGTACATCCAGAGTTTTGAGCAACTCTAGAAAAATTTGATCATTTGGTTATAGAGGTAGATTAATAATGGTGAAAGAATTAGAAAAATTTGATCATTTGATTATAGAGGTAGATTAATAATGGTGAAAGAATTAAAATATTGAGAGACTTGTTTCATATATCTCTATTATTGATGACAATGATGATATCCAATGTATGTAGGTGTAAGTAAAGAAAAGACAATGAAGTTAGGGATATGATGTATGCACCATATGATATTGTTTTGATTGTTATAATCTTTTGTTTGTGTTGTTGCTTTAGGTATATTTATTTTTGTGTGATGTTTTAGGCATGTTAATATTAACTTTGGTATAACCAAAAGTCGTTATCTATATTAAATTCTAAGATTACAAAAATTTTAACATAATAAATTATAATGTAGAACTTGTTCAAATATTGGAATAATAAATTATAAGATAGAACTTGTTCAAACATTGGGACAACGTTTTCATGTGTCTCGACTGAAGACGGATATCACACAATCTTACCAATTTGTCAGTTGTTTTAGTTTGGTTCTAATATTTGTGTTGTTGGAATGACTATTTTTCTTCATTTTCATATTTTTGTTGTGCCAAATTATTTCCCCTTAATATCTATATCTATGTGAATACTCTTTTGCTATGATTAGAAAATTATTATTGTATACACCGAATACGTTTACAATTTTCTAAACATTAGACTGATATAAAAAAAATTTACAACTTTGTAAATGTTAGATGATACAAAAAAGAATCTTAACGAACACATCGACATGCCGCAATAACATAAGAATAAGATATACATAAGACTTAATGCAGTCACACCAACCTCTATGTATAGTATTCTTTTGACCTCTATTTATTATGATTCATTGTCTCTTCTACTAATAGCATGGACAATGAACGGTTACTTTTCTAGTGATGATGATATTTCAGAGACCTCGTATCAAAAATATGTGAAAGTTACTTTTCTAGTGATGATGATATTTCAGAGACCTCGTATGTCACTGTAGCGTAAAACCAATTGCATGTCCCAGATCGTCATTGTTAGCATAAAAAATGCTCCCCAATATAAATTAAATATTATTAATTTTCAATTTTTTTATTAATTAATTGGATTTTATATATATATGACATCAATTCTATTAGCTCAGCCTCTTATTTATTCAATGCAGGCAAGCGCCAATCTATGTTAAAAAAGAATTTAGTTTGAGGCATCAATTCGATTAGCTGGGCCACTAATTTATTCAAGCGCCAATCTATGTTGCGAATTTTTTTAATTTGAAAATTAATGGGAAACATGGGTAATTTGAAAATTAATGAGAAACATGGTTATTGAGGAAATTTTGTTGGAAAACTTGGTTAAAAGCTTGGACAAGTTGTTTTCATACTAAAAAAAAAGGTCATGTAGGTGAAAAGACTGAACAGGCAACAAAAATAAAAACCATGCATTGTTCATTGAATCATAAACATGATTTACGTAGTACTGTATATAATAGACCATCCTCTAAACACTTTAACATGGGACACATTGGAACAAGAAAAAGTGTTCAACTACAAACGTAAAGTTTGAAATCATAGGACGCTATCAACGCAATAAAATCATTTGTGATTAATACAAAGCAAACTAGTAGACATGGAACATCTTATTGTCCACTCCCAGCAGAGCTTCGAATCCCGTCTAGCATCAATCTGTCTGCACATTCACACCGACTTAGATATTTGCCAATTAAGCTTAAATTTAAACTTGAGATTACAAATAGGCTCGGCTCACGTGATATAAGTAACTTGCTACTATGCTATATGTTACAAAAAAAAACTCGTTGCATGAATATCACACATTCATTACTCGTATAATGGCAGTCAAGCATATTCCACTATGTATAATCATTGCAGCCATTTCCAGAAGTTGTCACATCAAAAAATATAACACAATTGTTTTTTCAATATTTAATTTGAAATTATGGAACACTTACCTCACCTTTTTTACTTCTGAACCCTGTATATTAAACGCTTCGCTCATCCAATAAGAAAATAAATTAACAGTATGATTTATTTTTCAGTAAACTAACAGTTCACCTCATTGGGCGCCTCTATCATCCTTGTCATTCGTCTGCGGAGTGTACTGGCTGGTAGATGATGGTGAGTAACCAGGTTGGCTTGGTGAATAACCAGTGCTGGGACTGCAAAAGTCAAATAGAAAAATAACAAAAACAGATCATGCTCGGTTATAGGCCTTTCATACCATTTAGCATTTTAAAAATCATCTATGATTAGGCATACCTAAACTGCGGCGAACTTGGGCTATAGTCTGGGCTCGTACCAGAATGATATGGGCTAGAAAAATGCATAAGCATGAATAAGTAACAGAAAAAATTACATTTGGTTAAGTTTTATTAGCAACTAAAGAGAGAAAAATTAATTATAATACTGATATTAACATAGACACTAGATAAATTATGAAGTTCACTTACCTGCTGGGACTGTATGTTGGGCTCGATGGTGAGTATGAAGGAGATGTTGGTGAATATGATGGAGATGTTGGGCTGGAAAATTATAATAGAAACTTATTTGCCGTAAAAAATCACAAGTAAAATGCAATTGAGATGAAAATAGACCATATTATATTCAGACTCCGCCACCCAACAAGCTAATAAATGAATATGAAAAAACCAAAGGAAAATAACTTTTACTGCATAATGTATAGGTTCCTCTTCAAAACCCAGTAGACTGAAATGTGAAGGATATGAGTTAAATGTTTTTGGGATATCTTTAAGACTTTACAGGTTCCATATATCACATTGGTGATAAATAAATAAAACATCAATACCCCAGAGAATGACTCACCTGTAACTTGGAGATGTAGGACTGTATGGACTTGATGGAGACAATCTTGGACTGCTAGGAGAATATGCCAATGAAGGACTATACTTTGCAGACTGTGGATTGTAACTTGGGGAAGTAGGACTATAAGATGGCGATGTTGGGCTGTAAGAAGGTGATGTGGGGCTGTACCCAGGAGAGGTGGGACTGTAAGCAGGTGATGTAGGACTATATGATGGAGATGTTGGGCTGTAAGAGGGTGACGTGGGGCTGTAGGAAGGAGAAGTTGGACTATAGGAAGGTGATGTTGGACTATATGATGGAGAAGTAGGACTGTATGCAGGTGAAGTGGGGCTGTATGCTGGTGAAGTTGGACTGTATGCAGGTGAAGTGGGACTGTAGCTAGGAGATGTAGGGCTGTAGCTGGGAGAAGTGGGGCTGTAGCTGGGCGACGTAGGGCTGTAGCTGGGTGATGTAGGAGAGTAGGATGGACTTGTAGGTGAATAAGCTGGGCTCGTAGGACTATATCCAGGAGAGCTAGGGCTGTATGTTGGAGAGGTAGGGCTGTACCCAGGTGACGTGGGGCTGTACCCAGGTGATGTGGGGCTGTACCCTGGTGAAGTAGGGCTGTATCCAGGTGATGATGGACTATAGCCTGGTGATGATGGACTGTAACCAGGAGATGAGGTAGGAGAAAATGCCATCCCACCAACATATGGTGAAAACTGTGCATCGTTAGTAGGAGACAGCCGGAGATTTGGGCTCAGCAGATAACTTGGAGACATCAAGCCTTCATGATATGGAGTAGCAGATATTGGGGAACGACCAGGTGTCATGCCAAAATCAAGACCTTCCATATAACTAGGTAGCTGGAGTTCAATAGCATTCTTTAGCATCTCGTCATTAAGTAACAGGGCACATTCACCAGTGCCTATGGGGGCTAGTTGACCTAACATAATATTTTCAGTTACACCCCTCAAGTAATCGGTCTCAGCATATACCGCAGCATCAAGGAGAATATCAACAGTCTCTTCAAACGAGCACCTCATCATTGGGCCAGTTTCATTCCTGTTGATACCATGACGTGTAATTGCCATCAAATGCCCTCTATATGTCATGGTATCACAAAGAATAGCCAGATGCCTGTAATTGACGTAAGACCCGTCAAATGAAATGACAACACGCAATTCATCCAGCAGAGACCGTCGAACTGCCTCAATACCAAGAACTTCAATAACTTCAATCAAGTGGTTGCTTGTGGTCCTTGTCGCATCAACATCTTCATGGCACATAACAGCTAAAAGGTTGACACCTTCGGTATCAAGCATCCATTCCTCGTGAGGCTTAAAACCTTCATTCTCATCAAACTTCTGAATTTTTGTATTTTTAATAAAAACTTTGTTGATATCTGCAATACCACGCAAGGTCATTTCAGTGAGCATGTTGCTCTCTATCTTTTTCAAGAAAACATCATCTTCAGCTGATTCATCTTGAATGTCTCCCTTGGGTGCTTCATCATTCATAATACGGATTCGAAGTATAAGTTTTTCAGCATTGTCATCATTAAATATGCATGTTAAATCATCTTCAAATTCACGATTGATCTTCTCAGCAATATCAGCCATACTCAACTTCTTATCCACCATCATTTCACGATTCAGTTCTATACGAAGTAACCAAGGTGATATTTTATCAAGAGCAACTTCTTCGTCGGGCATTTCGTAGTAAGACCTTACAAAATCAACATCCTCTTCTATGATTGTACCCATGGGGTCTGGATCATACCACACCTCTGTGGCTTGAGTCACACTTCGTAGAGTGGTATATTCTAAAGCACACTGCACATTCTTGGCTCTCTCTTTAGTCTTACAAACCTCAGGTTTCAAATACACAGATAGAGAAGGTGTCTTAATTCTCTTGGCAACGTTAATAATTTCCCTTAACCTAGGAACACCAAGAGTAACATTCTTAGCACTGACACCAGCATAATGGAAAGTGTTGAGAGTCATCTGAGTAGCAGGTTCACCGATTGATTGTGCTGCCACACAACCAATCATTTCCCCAGAGGCCACAAGTGATTGCAGGAACCTTGATTCTATTTCCCCTACTACCCATTCAAATGCCTCACGAGAAAGCCTGTACTCCTCCAGGACCCTTTTACTGGCAAAAGTGCTACGAAGCAGAATATTGAACAGGAGAGTGGCATTTTTCTGAGCTTCTTGACTTAAAAGGTCATCCCCAGGAACTACTCTAAGTCGCTCCTGGAGCTTATCAATAGCTTCCACTATTTCCATTGGATGCATATCAGAAGGTCTTCGAAAGTCAACCTTAAATGTCTTCTGAGCATTCCAGATAAGCCTCTTAAGATTGACAGGTAGTGGCAGAGAACTGTCACCAGTAGTGGCAATCTCAGTTGCAAGTTGAAACCTATCGGCATCAAGCTTTTGAACTTCCGCCTCAAACACATTACGAAACTCTCTAATTGTTTTCAAGTCTTCTACAGGCTCTTCAAGCATGTAAGTAGGCTTCCAGTTTTCATCATCAAATTCATACCTAAAAGCCCTATCAAAATCTGTTTTTTTCATTTTCAATGAATCCAGCTTCTGTGTTTCTATCCAAACAGCATCCATACCATCCTCGCCATAGAGAAACTGTATGACATCTCCCAAAGAATTCCTAACTGTCCCATCATATTTAACCATGATGTCTTCCATAGCCTTTACAAGCCGCCTCTGAATGTACCCAGTTTCTGATGTCTTGACTGCAGTATCAATAAGACCTTCCCTACCTCCCATGGCATGAAAAAAGAACTCTTGAGGGGTCAGTCCACGGAGATATGAGTTCTCCACAAACCCACGACTTTCAGGCCCATAATCATCTTTTGTGAAGTGGGGCAATGTTCGGTCTATGAACCCAAATGGAATTCGTTTACCCTCAACATTCTGTTGGCCCACACAAGCAGTCATCTGAGATATGTTGATGAAACTTCCCTTGGAACCAGCTGTGACCATAGCTTTCAGATTATTGCTCTCAGATAAACTTTTTTGGGCACTATTTCCAGCATCATCACGAGCTTTATTCAAAGTCTAGATATTATCAAATATCATAGTACATCAGATTCATCCAAAAGAAATTTTCAATAAATATAACAGTGACAAGAAATCTAATGCAAGTACCTGGTTAACTCTATTTTCAAATGAATCCATCATTGTCCGACCAGGTTCAGCCTCCAATTTCTTTTCCTGAGCTTCCCGGATGAGTTGTTTCACTTTATCCTTAGCCTGTGAAATAGTCTGATTAATAGTCTCCATGGTCGAAGCATCAGCAATTGTATCACCAATTCCAATGCTAAAAGCATTCTGTAAAAGCCAGTAATTTACAAGCCACTGAGTATGGCCAAGAAATTTGCGAGCTGCATCAGGGCCAACCTCTTCCCTGTATTCAAGTACACATTCATCAGTGGGAAGAACAGAGAAGAAAGGAGCTGATAATAACATTTATCACAGCCAATTTACAATTATTGTCATAAAGCACTAAAGGAGTAATAATAATATGAAATTAGTTATCTAACTTAAATAAGAGTTCAGAGTTCAAGTAAAAGGAATAAATTTCTCAATTGATTAATAGAGATTGTAAAGGTAAATGAACCATGATAAAACTAAAATAACAATCTAATTCTGCTGATAATTTCAAGTAAAAATATCCATATAACTATTATATGTGGGAGCTGTATACCAAACAACATGAATGAGACTTCCAGTGCCTGTTCCTAGTGTCTTTTTGCAAAGAGTACCAGTAAGAAGTTCCCCCTTTTCAATTCGGACCATCGTATCTCCAGGGGTTATAGGTCCCCTTTCTGACTCATTGTGCCAGCTAGAATATCTAATAAGATTTATCTGCTTAGGAATAATCAGATTGAAAACTTGTTTCCCAGTCCACAGTGGTTCTGGTTTCAATATCGTAGGAGCAGGAACTTTCCCATCAAAATCTTCCCACCACATCAATATATTCATAAAAACATCCTGCAAAAGATAAGAACTTTCATCAGACTTTTAAGCAGCTTGTACAAAAATTTGAAGCCGAGCTAAACTGCAACAACAGAAAAAATCACTTAATATAACCTTTGAAATGAATGTATCTCTTTTAGTGATTTTCCTGCACCCTAAAAGTGAGTCTTGGACAATTCCCATTACTGGCCTGTTTGCCTGAGGTGACACAATGCATTTAGGCACCATCATCAGCTCCAACACCTCAGCTCTGGTTTCAAATGATTGAGGAACATGCATATTCATTTCATCACCATCAAAATCAGCATTGTATGGTGAGGTAACAGACAAGTTAAGCCGAAAAGTAGAATAAGGCATGATTTTGATTCGGTGCCCCATGATAGACATCTTATGAAGACTAGGCTGACGATTGAAGAGAACAAAGTCTCCATCATTCAAATGACGCTCCACCTAAAATCATAACATCAAGAACTGTAGAAGGCTTTGAGTAAAAAATTTAAAATAAAAATAGAATTTATTGTTCAAAAATAATACTTTGTATCCAAGCTCCAAATGGTGGTCACTACTTTTCTTCAAATATCTGAGATCAAGCCTTTGTCCATCATCACGAATGATATACTTAGCACCAGTTTTTCCAGGTGGAGGATGGGGTCCATACTCGACAAGTTCCTTCAATCTGTTATTTTTATTTAAAATAGTTGGTCAAATTAATGGAAAACACATCAAGAAACAAGCAACTGAAAGTCATATCCAAATGACACCTTTCAATGTTGTAAGGAGTAACAGTCTCGGGGTATGTAAGATTAAGAGCAATAGTCCATGGCACTCCCAATTGATCAATATTGATGGTTGGATCTGGTGTGATTACTGTTCGAGCAGAAAAATCAACTCTTTTTCCCATCAAGTTGCCTCTAATACGTCCTTCTTTCGCTTTAAGCCTGCTGCATATTGATTTGATGGGCCTTCCTGATCTTTGAGTAGCCTGTGAAAATAAATACAAAGAAAATACTCTGCCAATTATGAATAATTAAAGATCAATGAAGATTATAACAAGCACAACGAATATCAGAGTTAAATTTAATGCCAGTGTCCAAAACAAGTATACCCTTGGCAATCCAGGCAACTCATTATCAAAATACGTGGCTATGTGAAACTGTAACAACTGAGCAAACTCGGATATAATATGTGCAGGAGAACCGTTCCTCTCCTGTCTCTTAAGATTTTCATTGTGCCTGATGATCATGGCCAGCTGATGAGTTAAATCATCCTGCATAAAAAAAGAGACAACATCAGTATTGAAAGAAAACATTTATTAAAATTGTCGCTGAGAAAGTTATGGGTCAATGCAATCAGTGTCAAAAGATAAAGAAATGAAAAGAAAAAGGAAAAAAAAAACAAAGCTTAGAAAATTGGAAAATTTGTAAAACAGTGTCTTGAAATACTTGCCTCACTTCTGGAGGATGTGTCCATCATTACTGAAGGTCTCACAGGTGGAGGAGGAATTGGAAGAACTTGTAAAATCAACCAGTCAGGACGGGCATACTTAGGATTCAAGCCTAACAACTGGCAGTCCTCATCACTTATCCTTTTCAGAACACTCAGAACCTTCAACGGACATAACAAGTCACCAACTACATTAATTTCTGTAACAGGTGAACATAGAAATGTTCATACCAGAAATCCATAATCTAAATCAAATTACCCTTTCGGCGGAAAGAGTCTGTTTCCTTTCTACAGGTTCAGGAAGCTGATCCTGATCATCACTTTTCTTCCTTTGAGCTTTATACTCTGCATTAATTTTCATTCCCTCAATAGTGATCTTTGGTTGCTGAGCACCACAGCCACCGCGACTCTTTTTAACTGGCTCCTCGGTATCTTGACCAGGAAGGTCGAGGTCATCACCTCCTTCACACTTGGTTTTGTTTTTACAAGCATCCAAAATCTTTCTCAGCCTATTTTTTGGATTCTTGATCCTCAAAGCTTGCTTAAACTTATGATCTTGCTGCACAAAACACAATCAATTTAAAGAACCTAAATTCACTTTGCTAGACATACAAACACACACACCATAATAAAAAAGAAGCATCTAAATTCCTTATTATTCGACCCACATATAATCGCCTATATAACTCGAATACTCATAAACTAACCATTATATACATTACTCATTTGGTACTATGCAAAGCACATTCCATAAAAGGACCTCAAAAGTACCTCATCAGCGAGAATTTTAGAGCAGTTAAAGCAAACACAGCGCATTATACTGAGAACAGTCTTCAAAAACCCAATATGAAACATAGGCTTGGCAAGCTCCAAGTAACCAAAATGACCGGGGCATTCAGCCATACTAGCAGTACAAGTTTCACACTTCATTTTCCTATCAATAGTTCCAAGTCGAGGATCACTCAATCCTGCAACTTTCGGCTTTCCTCTCTCAGTCGTTTCGCCGTGCTCTATTTGCACCACAGCCATTTGCCTCTGAAAACATACAAACAAACGAACCAATCAACCAAATATTGTTTTTACAAACAACACAACATGAAGCTGTAAACTATAATGCTTGAATTCTACTATTCTAATGGAATTTGAAAATCTTGGAAAGAATATGAATTGAGAGATTACGATCTCATCGGGACTGAGTATTCCAAACTGAACCATGCGGATTTTGGAGACCTCCGCCGGCGAGAAAGGGAAACGTATATCCATGGCGGTGGCGTTCTAGGGTTTCGGAGGGAAAAAATAAGGTAACAACGAAAATTCAAATTAAATTTGATACGGTGTAATAGAAGTAGTGTTTGTTGAATTTTTGGGCTTGAGTTTCAGTTTTATGAGTGTGTAAGAAGAGATCGGCGTCAAGAACCTGCTCTCTGGTTGAGGAATTGTCCTCTCGATGTAAAGAAAGAATGGGAGCCCTATGTTCTTATTTATAGACAGTATCGTGCGCGTTTGTGCTATCGTACATGTATTGCACACTTAACGCGATTGGGTAGCATTATTTTCGGGTTCAGCCCCATGTAGATACAGGTAAAATAAAAATATTAACTTTGAAAAAGAAGTAAGGCCAAAACCAACAAAAGAAAAGAAAGAAGAAGAACTCGAGCATTTAATCAATTTTGAAGTTAGACAAATTGAAATGGTCTCTAAAAAAATATATCTCGCATACAAAGTAACAGGGTTTATAAGCAACAAATATTAGAACAAGAATGAAAAATTGTTACACCACATGAAGTTCTATATATTATGGTCATAATTTATTAATATTGCACAATTGTTTATTTTTCTTAGAATATGTTAAGATATTAAATTCATACGTAAATTATTGCAATCAGATGATTTATTTTGAAGATTCCAAAGGATTAACACCTATTTATGAAGAGTTTGAATAACAGTTTGGAAATCACTCTCAATTCACACATATTATCAACTTTTTTTTTGTTGGTCTTCTCCATCACTAGCATGATAAACATAAGTTGAGCTCTCAACACAATTGTCTTTCTCATATTAATTAAGAAACCACTTTGTATATCTATTATGGTGGTCACAAGATATTGTTCCTCTCGCTTTTTACATATTTTGACATGGCAAGATGGAAATTGTGAGCTTTCTACTAAGTGACTTTCTTTCAAATGGAAATTGCAAAAGGACAAGAAAAAAATATGTGTGCTGATGTCTTCCCTTGTGAATTACATAGATCATGTATCAAAGTTATACTACAACATAATTTCTAAGATTATTGTCTTAAGGGAGTTTTTCTTGGATGAGTCTCCAATCTATGCAACATAAATATAGGATGAAATTTTGCCAAATGAATTTTGTTCGCTCCAAAATTTGATGTTCTTAAAAAACGATAAGTATATGCATCTTTATGTCTTTCCTTATGTCAATTACATAAAAAACGATAATTATATGAATTTTGTCTCCCCTTGTGAATTACATTTATGTTTTTCCTTATGTCAATTACTCATACGGTGTTATCTATTGTATTATTATAATGCATTTTGATTCTCAGCTAAACATAATATTTTATGTGGTAAATTATTTGGTGATCCTTGATGATATATTTGACTTTGCATATTTTGACTCAATTCTCCTGAGAGGCTAACATCTTCCAGCTCATGTAGAGAATTAAGGATTCATTTTGTTGTATTTTTTATCTAAGCCCTACCTCACATTCCACATACAATTTGCAAAAAAAAATTCTATCAAGTGTATGAATCTTTCTAATCATTATGTCTTCGTCAAAATAAAGTTCTTAAACCAAGTTCTCAAACCAACATATCATGCATTATTGATTTTAGTCTAAATACTCTTTTTATCCCTTATATATACCTTTGAGTTTATTTTGGTCCTTTAACTTTTAAAAAGATCAATTTGATTCTTTATTAATTCAAACAATGCTATATATGTCCTTTTTGTCTATTTCTCACTAATCGTATCTATTTTTGCATGTGCGTCATCCTAATTGACAACATTGTTATAGTCTTATATAAGTTTCTTCTAATTTCTTCTCACATATGATCTCTAAATCAAACTAGAGCATAAACTTCCATATATATCATCCTCGTAGCTTAAATGTGTAAAATTGTTTATTGAATCAAAAGAAACAATGAGCCTTTGAGGTTGTTAATCCATGGCTAAAGAGAATAGTTCTTCGAGTTATGATTCAAAGGTGTACCAAACTTCAATCTGCAATGGAGACTCAATTGTCATTATGGAGACATTGGTGTTCTTCGTAGAGCAATTGCAGTTAGCAACTATGGAAAGCAATTTCGGGGTGGTCTACGCTTTAAGGTAAGCATTCATACTTTAAGTCATTCATCCTTCTCGAAATTTCTATAGGGGAAATGTTGGTTTATAACTTTGTATTTTGGTTTGTTGATGTACACGGGGCTCTTCCTGAACTGAGTGTGGGTTATTTAATTGATTCTAAGAAAAAATGGAAAATAAGAAGGATCACCTTATAATGAAGCAAAAAACGAGGTTGAAAGTTATAATAAAAGCAAATGAGGAGCATATGCATAATCTTGAAAAAAAAACACACACAATTGAGGCACAAAAACAAGAATTTTCAACACTTAAAGTGGTTTTGAAGAACATGTGAAGTGGGAGAAAATTCGAAAGACTTTTTTTTACGGGTTTAGTGTTCAATTTGTTTTAATGTTACATTGTACTAGATGAACTAAATCATGAATGTAGTGTTAATTAGTACTCGTTGAATGCAAATGTAGTGTTACCTCGGTATCAACTAAATTAAAAGTTGAATGCATGTAATTTATATCAGTTGAATTTTGATGGTCTATTTATACCAGTTATGTATACTAATTATGCAATTATGCAGCATATGTTTATACCAATTGAGTACACCAATTCTTCGGTTAATGTTTTTGCAGTATACCATTTTATGTTTATACCAATTTATATTTTGATTGTAGGTTTATGTCAGTTTTGTACCATGTAAAACAATAAAACATTATTTGTATCATACATTAAAATCATAAATATAACCTGTTCGTTAACATTTAAAAAAACACATAGTTTGTTCATATACATTTAAGAAACATGTAACTTATTCATAAACAGAATTTGCAACAGAACATAACTTTGTTCATAAAGATACAAAAGAGTCTGCTTGCAAAAGAACATAAATTTGTTCTAACAGACATACAAAAAGCAAAATGTTTGTTCCAACACATATAATTCATGCACACAAAAAAAAAAAACTAAATTGTCTTCTTTCTTGGAGTAGTCTTCTTTGTTGGAGTTATCCTCTTAAAGTTGACCCAACTACATTCCTTGTTGCACTTAATTTGTTATTGGGACTTGGGGATACACGTGATATTGGTGTCCTTCTAACATTCTGTTTTTTTTCCTTCCTTGTTTTGCTTAAGATTGTTGATCTATTTTAGCTTATTGACTTGCTTACGTTTGTTGACTTGCTTGAGATTGCTGACTTGCTTAAGTTTGTTTACTTACTCGATTTTTTTGTCTTGCTAGAGATTGTTGACCTGCTTGAGTTTGTTGTCTTGTTTGGTACTGTTGACCTACTTGAGTTGGTATCATCTTACTAGTAGATTTGTTGTGACATGTATGCTTACACCTACTACCATAAAAATTAATCCAGTTCTTATCATTTTACAATCAGATCCATTTACTTCCCCTTGTTCGAGATTTATTATCTTCTTTGGTCTTTCTGGTTTTTTTTTGTACTTTGGTGGTTAAACATCTAAATACTTTGCTCTAACCCACAAATTTGATCCATTAACAAGATATATGGCAGGATTGTAGATTGTCTGATATATGAATTTCATGTATATTTCAGGGATGTATTCATCTACCTTAAGGTTCCCACTTTTCATTATTGTTATTGCAAAAACATATGGCAGTGTTGTGAGCCATATGTTCATGCAACAAGGGACATGGTAGGTGGCTCATTCATAAGGGGGTCATAACCCTTATATCCTTATTTCATGGGTTGTGACCCCCTTACGAATGAGCCATCTACCATGTCTCTTGTTGTAAACTTTCTCTAATTTATTTTTTCTTATTGACCCCTACATTCCATTTCCTTTGTGCATTTTCCTTTATATCTTGATTTTCATCTTAGGATTTTTTTTAAGGAATTTTGAATCATTTTATTCAACCATTTATACTCATCAACTTATCATTACGATCCCTACTACAACTGTAGATGTCAATCATTTTCCTGAGTTTCCAAGATTTCTCCTTGGAAATTTTGGCACGATATGCTTCTTATTCACAACCCTCTCTATATCTAACACGCACTCTTTTTTATAACTTTTAGTGAACTTTAGGTTCGTACCAGATTGGACAACATAAGTTGTTATTGATTCCTTAAAATCATATATGGTATTAAAATATACTCCTAACTTCCACATATAACTAACCATGTATTTCTGCAACTTGGAAATTAGATACTTCTTCTTAGTTATTCCACCATTCTCTTCACTTTCACATTCACTCTTCAAATCTTCACTTTCACTTTAACTTCTATTAACTCCATTCTTGTGTTTTTCCCACTCGTGTTTCTTTTTATTGTTAGTATCCTATTGAGCATTGTCATAGTCAATTAGATTATATATTTTCTCATCCATCAAATTATCAATATCACCTGAGTTATCAAATGCAATTTCCAATGCACTATCATACTTAAAACTCTCATCCTCACTATCATCAAAACTTGCAGAGCCAACCATGTCACCCTCATTCATCAAATACACGTTAAATTCGTCATGTACATCACCATTTTTCCCCTTGGCATCTTGAACACCATCATGTTGTCCCCCACCTTCCTGAAAACCATCGTCACGCACAACATAATGTTATCCATCACCTTCTTGAACACCATCATATTGCACATTATCATGTTGTCCATCACCTTTCTGAACACCACCACTATTCACATTATCATGTTTTCCTTAAACACCCTCTCTAGTTACTTCTTCATAAAGTTTAACAATCAACTCTTCTTCATCCTCACCATATATAATGTCCGAAGGATTTAATTATTCTTCCTCAAGAGGACCCTCATGAAACTTTGGCCAAGCGCATCATGTTGTATATAAATATCAACATTAAAATGCACCTTACAAAGATATGCAATATCTAATGCACATTTGTCACCAGTCAACACATTCATCCCAAATGTTAGGTCCTTGTACCATATTGTATATATTTCCTTATAACCT